CACTCTGTCTCTGGTGAAGCCTCTCGCCACCCCTGAGCCTCTGGCCTGTACCCCAGTTCTGTATGAACAAATAAATAAATCTTTAAAAAAAAAAATTTTAAGTAATTATTTCTAGATGGTAAGATTACCAGGGGCCCTGTGTGTGTCCATTTTCCACTTCCTCCTTTCAGAACCATGTATTTTCCTGTCGTAAACTTAGCCACCTGCCCCTGCCACAATCACCCTAGAGCCAGGGACCAGCAACTAGAGGTAACCCTGGACCTCGAAACCCACCGGAAGTATTCAAGCCAGACAGTCCCAGCCACTCACCCTGCTCTGCTTGCCTTTGCTGCGGAAACCACAGTGAGCTCTTCCCTACTTCCCCCTCCAGCCTGCCCTGGTGCACCCGTGGTCTTGCATGGCCCTCCTCTTGGAAACTGCAATAAGCTATCTTTTCTTTTTTAAAAGATTTATTTACTTATGCACACAGATTGGAGTACAGGCCAGAGGTGCGGGGGCCGGGGTGTGTGTGTGAGACGATTCACCAGAGACAGAGTGGGGGGCAGAGCAGGTAGACTGATGGAGGACACTGCTGAACGGAGCATGGGCGAGACAGGAGAGGCCTGCTGTGCCATGTGGGTCAGCTCCCTGGCCAGGGACCAAACTCGCACTGAAGCGGCTGCGGCCAGCTTCACGGTGCTGTGCTTTAACCGTTGCGCCACTAGGGAGGGCCCTAAACGGTCCTTTCACTAACAGTCATCTCCTTCCTCATCTGTCGTCTTCATCACACCAGACTATAGACTATAAATCCCCTATTTACAACAGAGGCAGGACCTTCGCTTGGCAGTAAAGGGCAAGCTCCCTGCTCACTGGCATCTCGGGACCAGTGAGCCTGCCACCGCTTTGCCACGGCTGATGGCATCATCCCTGAGATGCTGCGGAGGAGTGTGTGCTGCGGCCAGTGCCCAGCGCCACACATGGTCTCTCCAACCCACACTGCAATGCTTCCTGGAGGCCAGCCCGCCGGGGCCGCTGGCAGCTCCCACAGCCCAGCGCTGCTGCCCGGGACACTCACTCCACCAAAGCACGGGGTTCCACAGGGCTCAGGCTATCATACACGGTGACCAGGTCACGGTCACTGCCCTTGCCCTGGCAGGGCGCGACGTCGAAGCTGCGGAAGGTGAGGCTCAGCATGTGATCGGCGTCTCCCCGCAGGGTCCACTGGCAGCGGGCATGCGCCGGGTAGGGGCTGTTGGGGAAGCCAGGCGTGGCGAAGCGGATGGGCTCCCTCCCTCGGGCATGGAGAGCAAAGCTGCAGCTGTCTGTGGGGGACACAAAGGAGGCGGGACAGCTGGGCAGTGCAGGGCCATGCTGGCCATTACCGCGACGCGACTTTGAGGCACCCAAGGGGCCTCTGGCCCCTCTTCAAGAAGAAGGGCAAGATACTTACTATCCTGGGTGGTCTGTATTGTCCTGGGGTCCGCAGCTAAACAATAAGGAGAATGAAGTAGTTACTGACAGGTCTATTTATGACCTTATTTCTGCATTCTCAGCCCCTAAGGGGAGGTACCAGCTGCAGGCACGTCTTTTCCCTGCACCAGCTGGCTGCCCTGTAATAGTCCAGGGCCTGGCCGACAAGTGCCCACCACCCCCGGTGCCCTGCACTCACGGAAGGCCACCACGGAGGTCAGCTCGAAGTTGTTCAAGGCACGGGAACGGGGTGGCAGCGTGATCACACGCTCCTGGGCCATGGCGCGCTCAGCCTCCTCCACCAGATACTGCGGGATGCTGAATTCTGACCAGTAGTAGGCGATGACACTGCCCTCGCTGGGGGACAGGAGTCACCTGAGACATGGGTGGGCTCCAGAGACCCAACCCGGCCCCACCGCTCCCCCCCCCCACATTGCTGACCACACACACATTGCTGAGTGCAGAGGGGGGCACTCAGGTAACCGAGAGACATTCCTGCTCTGTGCTCACCCCTCTGCTGGCCCCTGAGCGGGAGCTTCTGCCCCTCCTTAGTCCTCTGCTCAGTCTCACGTCCAAGGAGATACTGTGGGGCCAGCTGAGGTTTAAGACTAAGAAAAACCTCCGCTGGACGTGAGCTCTCTGCTAGCCTGGACACTGAGCGACCACTCTGATGCTTCCCTAGAGGGCACGAGAATGCCACCTGCTACTCAGCATTCATAAAATCACATGCAACAAGTAAAATAAAAAGTACTTTTGGAATAAAGGCTATTTTTTTTTTACAGAAATATTTCAAAAGCTGACCACGACAGGGCAATGCAAGGTTCGCTGAAGCCTTCCTGAGCACCTCAGCTCAACTGTGGGAAAGGAACGCGCATTGCTGAGGGGCTCGAGCGGCAGGCCCTGTGCAGAGCATGGCACACTCACCTTGGCCACTCTGCGCGTCACGCTCACCCTGGAGACCGGGTTAGGCGAGCAAGAGCAGGGAGCACAGAACCAGGATGTGCACCCTGGCCCTGCCAACCGGCACTTGGCAGCTTTGGCGGCACACGGCGCAGGCACCACCTCACACCACACCGAGCCATCCCCCAGGACCTCGGACCCACCTCTCCCCAGGACCCACCTGAAGGCAGTGACGGCCGACTGCCTGTGATAGGGGCCCAGAGACGGGATCTTGCTGTACAACAGCGCCAGCTGCGGAAGGAGAGGGGGCTCACAGAGGGCTGGAGGGCAGCCACGACCCACTGCCCAGCCTCTGACACTCTGCCCAAGCCCACACTGCTCCCACCCTCCCTCCGGGGACTGCGCTTCCCCCAGCCGGGACGGGGCTCCCCACTCCGGGGCTAGACTCACTGCTTCCTTCACTTTGCTTGCCAGGTTTGCAAACTCTGTGGAGTTTGGGTTCTCATAGGCATCCAGAAAGTTCTCATTTGTGATCCTCAGGTAGCCATTGAAGACCTTCTGGACCCGCACATTCCGAACTGTGAGAGATAAGGGGAGGAGGGGGCTCAGATAAGTGGGAGCCCTCGAAGTGCACCCCCACTTCCATCCACAGCCGCCCCCAGCAACATTAGGTGGGGCGACACAGGGAGCCGGGGCAGGGGTGAGCCTCGGGGGCAGCTCTGGACAGCTCTCATCACCTGCACTGACCATTCCTTCCTCATGTCCACAGAAGGTGGCCCTTGGGTCTGTCCATTGAAAAAGGGGGTACACCATGTATATTGCTGCCTTATAAACAATTGGACAGACATGAAAACAGCCCAAATGCCCAAGAGTAGATGACTGGATTAAAAAGATGTGGTACATTTACACAATGGAATATTACTCAACAACCAAAAAAAAGAAACACATGTCTTTTGCACCAACAAGGATGGAGCTGGAGAAGATCATGCTTAGTGAAATAAGCCAGAAAGAAAAGGAAAAATACCGGATGGTTTCTCTCATAGCAGGAATATAACAGACCAGGCGAAAAAATAATAATAATGAACAGCTACAGACCAGAGACATGTTACGGGGGTGGAGTGGGGAATGGGATCAAAAACAGTGGGGGGAGGGAAGTGCACGGGACTATGGTGATGGCACACGGGTGATTTGGTGATGGAAAACCCGCGGGGATTACAACTGAGATGGAAAAATGCACAACCCAATGTAAAAATAAACGATTATGTTATAAAAAAGAAAGAGGGGGTGCAATCACCCCACACGATCGTCCCCAAGCCACACCACTTTACTCACAGTGGAAGTGCCACACCAGCAGCCCGGTCATGAGGGAAAGCAACAGGAAGCCCACGAACAGGGCCAGCAGCACCACGCAGCGCCGGGGGCCGCGCTTCTCCACCTTCTTGGTGTTGTTGACCGGCAAGAACTCCACGCCCTCCTCACAGCCATTCATGTCCTGAACAGAGAAGCACAGCGTGCTCAGCAAATCGCTCACCTCCACAGCCTGCCCAGCCTGCCCATTGAGGGAAGAACGTTTACTTTTTGTGAGGTCCAGCATACACTCAAAGAGAAACGAGGTGCAACCTTCCTATCAGTGCACCCCGCCATCCGGGCAGCACCCGCCGGGTATCACCAAGAATCGGTCGTTTAAATGCAAAGGAAACGAGCAGCCCATGTAATTCTGGCACCGAGGCCCTCACTTGAATGAATCATCCCTATGGAGGTGGGTGCCCAGGTGTGGGGAGCACAGGCCCAGCCCAGGGCGGTGAGTGGCCACCGATTGGCTGCCTAGGGCTCTCCTGCAGACTTGTAAAAGCAGCCCCTCCTCCAGTAAAGTAGCCACAGGCTCCGTGTGGATTTCGGGGAGTCCCCACTGCCGCTGCAGCAGGAGCATAGAGTGAATCACACACCTCATCCAGAGGCCCGGCTCCATCAATGTTTAACCAGCCAAGAGAAAAAAAAGGCAGTGAACCCGGGCAGCACTGCCCAGCCTCAGCGAAAGCCACTCTTCTTTTGCACTCAAGTGTCCCCCATCCTGGGTCTTAAGGTGAGGTGACAAAGCCAGGTCTTTACTGCTCTCCACAGCCACACGCAAACTCAGGATTATGGAAAGCAGATAAACCTTCTCTCCAACAGGAGCTTCCCCAGGGTCCTCCCTGCAGGAGCACCTTGGAAGGGGAGGCATGAACATGGAGGCAGGCAGGGTGTCTGCAGCACTGGACGGCAGATGGGCTACCTCCTCTGCCCTGCAGCGTGGCCTTGACCTGGTCTGAGGCCTGAAGAAGGTGTGCCCTTTCAGGTTTAAAGGCCTGGTACCCACTCCGAAGGAGTTGTAATAAAAGCAAGAGTGCCAGCCCAAACGCACAGATGTGGCCACTTTCAAGTTTCTAGATGTGGTTCTTCTGGTGCACACCTCATAACTCGAAATGATGCACCTGAACTGACATTTCTGGATTTGTCACATGTACACAGTACCTATTAACTCGCTACCAGGAAAGACTGTCCCCACCCCTGCCACATTTAGATAGGGCTATTACTACTTTTTGATACTGTGACAATCTAATGCTGCAGAGAATCGTACCCATGCCATAGCTGATGCCATAGTGCTAATCATACTGCAATTGATAAATGAAACAAATCAATACATTGTACACCTTAAAGTCACAATGGTCACATATTGATTATATCCGAATAAAAATACAAATAAAAACACAACCCAGAGATAACACAAAATGCTTTCAAGAGGCTTGCTCTGGGCCTCCCAGATGGCACAAGGGGTTATAGTGCAGCACTATGAAGCTAATCGCAACCACTGTAACACAAGTTCAATCCCCAGCTAGAGAGCTGACCCACATGGCACAGCAGACCTCTCCTGTCTCACCCCCTGCTCCCCTCAGGAGTACATTTCCATTGTGATCTGCCTGTTCTGATTCCCCACTCTGTCTCTGGTGAATCTTCTCACACTCAACCCCATGCCGCACTTCTGGCCTATACCCCAGTTCTTATATGCATGAATAAATAAATAAAAGTATGCCCTCCCCTTCATTTTCTCTGATCTACTTTTCTGCAACTCCTGTGACATTGGTCCTCTTTATCTTTTCTCTGCTATTATTGGTCTCATCGTTTTTAACCTTTCTATTGAGTTTGTCATTTTTCAAAAAGATTTATGTATTTATGCATAGAGAACTGGGGTACAGGCCAGAGGTGCAGGAACAGTGACAGGGTTTGCCAGAAAAAGAGTGGGGAGCAGGACAGGCAGATTGATAAAAGTACACTGCTGAGGGGAGCAGCGGGGATCCAACTTGTGCTGAAGCAGCTGTGCTTTAACCCGTTTGCCACCAGGGAAGGCCCCTTGAATTTGTCATTTCTGCTATAAAAACTTTAATTTCCAAAAAGTTCTCTCTTGTTCTTTGAAGTTTGGATGCAAAATTTTCTCAACTTCACATTTCCATTGAGTATCTTTTCTCTGTTTTTTACTGTCTCTTGAAGGCTTTCCTCAAATGCCAGGATGCCTGGTTGTTTGCTTAGGAATGAGGTCCTAAACGCTGTTTGGAACCCACGTGCAGGATTTGCCACTGCAGCTTCATTGTGATTCACTGTGATTTCTTTGCCAAGACATCCCAAATGCTAGGCTATCTTCCCCCCACCCCCCTTTTTAATTAAGATT